AAAAATTAAATTACTGTTAATATAGAATTTTAGTTTTGTGATTGAGGTTGAAGATGGTGTAACACATCAAATTCGCTGGACGGAGTTTCTATCATCATTTGATGTTTTTAACTTTTTATTCGTAGATAGCCGGAAAACTTGAAATCGAAGGAATAAAAATGTTTTTAAATCTAAATGTCAAGTCCACGGTCCCACTGATGCATCATTGTAAATACTGGGCCAGACTGGAAGCTTCTTATGATCTAGACTCCTGGTTGCACACTTGCACTGCACTGGGCAGCGATTATTCACACTGTAATCTTCACGTTGTTATAAATTATAAGAAAAGAGAAATTACGAGACGGTGAAAGTGTCAAATGTTAGAGGGTTTTGTATGGTTAAATGAAATTATTCAAATTTTGGTGAAACAGAACTCTATAGTTTCCTAGTGACAAAGCCAGCCGCCCATCCAAAATCAATAAGGTTTTGTCACCAAAATTGACATATATCAAATTTACAGGCCCTAGATTAAAAAACTGTGGGGCAAAGCCATACGTGTCATAATATATCTCAAATTTTCTTCTCAGGGAGGGAAAATTTAATAACCTGATGGAACTATTTGAATAAGGATTATATAAGATATCAGGGTAATCTTTGTTTATTTTGTACGATTCTTAGTGTTTGATTTGCAAGTAATAAAATATTACGGTAATCTTTTATTATAAATAGTATTTATTATTAGTTATGTGGGAAGTAATCTTATTATCTTGTTAGAGGGTGTTATTAAAATATTACTAGATAATATGATTTTTCTACTTATTTTGTCCTTAATTAAAAATTATTTCGGACACAATTGCCCTCGAATGTCTACCAACAAAAAAGTTTAAAAGTTAACAAAATACTCCTAACCACCCAAGACCACTGCCGATTGTCGACATCAGTCACCGTAATGGTGCACAACCAACGGGATTTAGTGGTTTGTGCGTCGATAAGACATTTTCTGGCCAGATTTGGTGTTTCTATGGCTGTGAAAAAGCCAGATATTTTGTCGTGAAATGGCAAGGCCAAAGATCTGGCCTTTTGACAGCCAGATTTGTGACCGTTTCACAGCTACATCTTTAGTCGTGAAATAGCCATAGATCTAGCCATTTTTTTATCACTGGCACACGACTAACCACATACGGCCAATCGTGCATTCCGTTGACTACCGACGATGGATAACGGTGGTGGCTGGTTGTTGGCAGTAGCTTCAGGTGGGTTGGAGGTGATTTGATTACAAATTAAAGTTTTATATGATCGAGATGTTTTAACAAAATTTCAAATATAAGGGTTTAAAAGAAATGATTCAAAGAATAATAATAAAAAATATTATTATATTAAATTAAAAAAAAAAATTTAATAATCTATATAACATACCTATCCATTTATCCTCATAACCAAATATATTATTCACTAATTTATTTAAATCAATTAAATATATTTTTTAAACATTTCCAATAATTTTTAAAGTAAATTTTTTTTTTCATTAATATAATATACCTTAGAATAAAACATTATATGATTGAACCTCCCATTGTGCTATATTATACAGACAAACACCGGAGAAGTAGAATCTTGACTAAAATATTTCAGTGAACTTTATTTTATGAAAGGAGGCTGGAGTTGTATCGTCAATAACCATCATAAATGCGGAGTTGTATCTTCAATAACCATTATAAATGCACTAACTTTCAACTCAGGGCAGGGTACTGGATATCATAAATATGGAGAGATATCTGAAAACAAAAATTACATATGAAAGCAGTTGAAACTACAAATAGCAAATCCCGGAATTTGTATTTATATATACACCAAAGATGAGTGATGATGATTAATGAACAGAGATAGTATCAATACAACAAGACCAACATGGCAAAAATCAGTGGCGCACAATCTGACATATGAAGATAAAATAAGTCAAACCAAAGCGTACAACTCTGGAACAAACGAAAACCACCTGAAACCACAGCTCCACTTCTCTGGAATTGAAGGGCATCTGGGCAACCAATGCCAAGTCCTTCTGGAAACCTTCAAGTACAAAATTTCTGGCCATGTGTAGCAGCAAACACAGATCATCCCCTGATGCCAAAAGCAATAAACATGCTCATAATTGTGATAACAAATTGACATAAATTTTCTACACATCAATTCAGGCAAGCTCTCCACTTCAATCCATGTCCCTTCATCACTCAATTCCCACAGTTTCATGCTCCTTGAAATCCCATTTCTTCCAACTCCACCAATCAAATACAACTTCCCTTCACCATCACTCACCAGCCTGACAAAAGTAACCTCCGCAGGCATGTTACATTTGAGTCTGTCCCATTTCCCACTTTCCAAATCAAAGGTCACTATTGAAAACGGCTCTGGAGTTGTAAAGTACAATGACCCATTACAGAATACGGTTTCTTGATGATTATTGTCGCTCAGAATCGACTCAAAAACAGCGAATGTTCTCCAACATAGGTCCCTTGAATCATAAACAAAAGAGTAATTCGAAGAAAATTTTGTGGAAAACATAAAGATTTTATAACCCAAAGGCGTAGAAACCAAAGTTAGCGACTCAAATGCAAAACGGTAAGTGGGGAATTTGATGATTCTCGAAGACTTGGTCAATAGATTGCAGACAAGAAAAGAAGACAAGGTAGGAAGAGAAAAGCAAAAGAGGCCATTAGAGGACGACAAAAGAGTACATGGAACACCAGCGGCGCAGGGTAGCAAATCAGAGAGGAAGCGAGACAAATAGCGCCAGGTTCCGAGGTTGGAGTCATAAAGAGGGAAGTGACGATAACACTGGGGGTGAGATAGCAAAATAAAAGAAGAGAAACTTGAAGAAGAAGAGGAGTACTTAGACATAAAAGAAGGTGAAAATAGAAGAGTCTTGAAATGCTTACATGTTGATCTCAAATTCAAGAACGTTTTGAGAGGCAAAAAATAGAGAATATGCTCCAAGAGTTCCTCCGGCAAACGGCTCCATATGACAGGATCCATTTCTGATGATTGGAGTTGGAGACCTCGTTGGTCCTTCATGTTCATAACTGCAGACATGGAACCTGTTTGTTTGCTTGATGGTTTGAGAATTGAGAATAGAGAGAGATGGGTATGACTCTTCTTTTGTTGTGAAATTGTCTTTGGAGAGAGACTCTGTTTGGATTGCCCTATTAATTTAGAATTTTGGCACGTAGGAAACCATTGACACAAACTGTAACAGTTTATAATATCATTATGTGGCCTTTTCTCGTCACGTGTCAGTCTGTGCGGCACTTTTCTTGTTTAATAAAATTTATACATATATATAGAAAATTGATTAGTTGATAATAAAAAAGTGTTAAGAGAATTAGAGTAACCACAGGGTGAGATGAGTGATGCTCAATGATCATTACTATATACTATATAATTTAGTTATCATTTAAAAATTAATGATCCAATACATGATTGTCTATTTTCTTATTTGATTGATCTGATGAAATACTATATACTATATAAATCTCATTTTCAAGGACTATTTGAAATTGAATAAAATATGGTATAGATAATATTTTCTTACATGTCAACATTTATTTAATGAAGTTAACAAAGTTTTTAAACTAGTTCAACAGAATACAAAGGCGAAGTGTTTTACAAGTATCAATTATCAAACAAGTAATTTATATTCTATTATTGAATCTAAAATTTAACCGGACTCGATTCAATAAAGAGGCGTAAAATTCAACCTTAAAAAAGTAAACAACACATATTTCAGAATGAGGGGCCGACTGTAATATTTAAGAGTTATTTAATCAAGTTTTAACCTTTATTATATGTATATACATATATATCAAGAGTCTAGAATACAGATGGTTTAAGGTGACATGAGAATGGGATGCACCATGTTATTGTCATGGCATCCATATAAATTCATAAATGAAAAATGAGTTGATGCAAATATTGTTTTCAGTAAGATCCTGCAAATCTTTTTTATAATTTGAATCTTTTGCCCCCAATTTGTGGCATCTTCAAGGATTTCATTTAGTTGATCATGAAAGTTAATTAATGTCTAATTGGGGTGGCCACTGAGGGGTTTATTTTGTCATTCACTTCAGGGTTTAATTAGTTGAAGTTCACACAAACTAACTCGAATATCCTGATAACAAAAAAAATAATTTAATTAATGCTACTTGAAAGATCAACTATTATTAATTAGTATTAATGATTTAAGAATAAAAGTTACATATGGCCATGGTCATGGTCATGGACCTTTCCAGCTATCATCTCTGATATTGTAAAATTACGAAGGATTAGTCTAATTAAATAAGGTTAAATTTGACAATCTTTTACCATTTTGTGGTTTTGAAACGAAATAATCAACGATATTTGCATCCAAGGGCTAAAAGTAGTTGAAGAGGATAATTAACAAAATTATTGTATCAAACTGCTTTGGGGCTTGGGAGTTCACATAATAGTATAAGGTTGGGATTTTGGATTTTATTTATAAAATAACTCTCACTTAATCATAATATTCATGAGATTCTAGGGAGAACCGTTCCTGGCTAGGACATTATTTAAACCCATAGAGGGCTCAGGGCATTCCTTTTACCCATTCTCATCTCTATAATCGGCTAATCTCTACTTTTATCGAATTTAATTGTCCGGCGTCTTATTTTTACCGGTTGGCTGTCATCCTCATCCATACCTTTTATTGTTTCTTCACTTCTGTATCATATTCTTAGGCTAAGCATCATCGAAACTCTTAAAAGAGAAGATATTCTTACAACAATGTGATCATAAACATATTGTATGATCCAGTGATGAAAGAGCTTCGTGGATTAGAACCAAAAATCCCGCTAACTGCAAGGCAGAAGCTGAGAAGCATCACCAGATAAGCTACTACATTCTTCAAATTAATAGCTCAAATTCTTTTAATCCTTCTAGCACAATATACATGACAGATGACCCACAAGTCACAACTCATGTATTTCAATTACCACAAGTAAAATTGTTAATAATATATGTATTGGCAATTGGAAGGAGGGATTTTATTATTAAACATGTACATTAACCCAATTTCTACACAAAAAACTGACCAAAAATATAATGTCAAACAAACAAATACCGAGCATATACATGAAACCGCAAAGATTGTACATATTTGACGAGTTATTGTGCGTGTACAAATTAGATGGTGATGATCTCAATATATGGAACTTGTTTATACAGCAGCAAAAGTCAATCGCTCCAGTTATCGTGATCCTGCCCAGGCCCTAAATCCTGAAAGTTCATCTCAACTAAATTAGGTCAAGACACTCCACCAGAGTTTGATATCTTAAGTAAAATAAACAGTGAAAAAATTCAAAGGGTCTACCATGTCATCAGAACTAGATTTGGATGGAGACCAGACAAGAATTTGTCTATCATTGCCACCTGTGTACAGTTCCTGCAACAAGCGGCAAATCAGTTAAATGACTGGCACAATATACATAATACATGGCCTGATGAGTAATAGACAAACACACTTCATTGTCTTAGTTCAAATACCAATGATTAATTAAGCCACGTCAAAACAGTGAATACCTGATCCTGGGAGCTAAACCAGCAACAATTGACAAATTCATAATGGCCGCGAAATGCCAAACATGTCTTACCTGTCCAAACATCAAATGCCTAGGAAGAAGAAAAGACACATAAGGTTCCCATGAAAAAATGTCCCATTCTAGTGGAAAATTGTCTATAGATTAAAAGAGAAACAAAAATTAAAAAAAAAAAAAAAAAAGATGCCGATGAAAAGATGTTTTACTTTAACAGCTGTCATGCATGGAACAAAAGCAAGAGCTGGATCGGGTGATGTTGCTAACTGTATTGCCTTGCTGGTTTGTAAGCGAACGGTTTCAAAGTTCACAAGTGTATTGCAGCCAGATTCCAGGTCCCACAACCTTATTCTTGAATCAGACCCTGAAATTGGAAAGCAGAGAAAAAGAACTGTCATGATTTGGAATTAGGAAAAAAGGTTGTCCATTTTTACTACTAGTTCACATAATTCATCAAGTACAGATGCAATGATATAAACCTGAAACTGCAGTTAGTTAAAAAGATACAGAAAGCCATAAAAAATTCAACAAATCATAATTTATTACAATTAGCAACATTTATTAAAAAATAAATTAGCTCTGAGAAAATTGAAGTATATATTGCAGCAGGTACCATAAATTTGACCTATATGATTACTTCATACAATCTACATTCAATTCGTCCCACAAATAGTATTTATATCAACTCCAGGAAATGGACAAAACCCAACCTGCACTGAGGAGATACATTCCATCCTCAGTTACTTTCAGGCCAGTAACAGCACCATAATGAGCAGTGGCACGATCCTGACCAGACAACATCCCTGGATGCAATCTCTGCTTCACAGATCCCTTGACTGGGTTTCGACCAACAAGTGACTGCTTTAAACCATTTCCATTAGCAGACCTCCTTTGTGCTGCCTTTGGTTTTATGGATAAATTTTGACCTGCTGACAAGGACTTTGATGTTGAAACCTGCACAAGGATATAAATAATAATGTTTAGAAAAGATAATTAATAGGTTAATGACATTTCACAAATCACAGGCACAGCAACACATAATTTAATGCAGTTCCAACAAATTAGTTAATGATGGAAAGCAGGCAAAACAAATGACCGAAATCCACAACCTATGCAGGAAGCATAATTTGACAATAGCCTATTATGGTTGTCACCGCCCATGCACATGATTACATGAATATCTCACAATTTGGCTTGAATATCATCACGAAAGTAACCTCAGTATCATTTTATACAAATTGGTACTTGGGGTCATCATTAATTAGCTCAGGGAGAGTTTACAGCACTGTAATTATACTCCATTAGCTTATTATCGTCAACTAACTAAATAAGCACATGAGAAATATAACATTCACGTAAGACTAATTTCATACATAAAATCAGCACAAGACTATTTCATTGCAACATATACATGTGATTACAAATGTACAAACAACTTTACATATATGTAGCTTATATAGTATATAGTATACAAAACAAACATCAAAAGGCAACCAAGGGAAAATCTACTCTCACAGTTGTTAGTTTTAAAGGTTTGCTTCTAAATCATGTTATGAATGAAAAGTTATCAAGTGGGCATCAATTTGCAATTTAAGAAACAGTTTTGAACTAGCGGTTGCCTTTCAAGCAGAAAAAGACTAGATTATCAGGAAAGTACCTTATTCATGCTGGTGCGCTCCATGAGAGGTGGGCGTCTCCCTAGCTGAGACTGAGACTGATCCAAAACACGAAAACATCCAGCACGTCTGATATCCCAAAAACGTATAGCACCATCACATCCCCCTGTTACTAAAACCCACTCACTGGATGTAGACCATTCTACTGTCATTATGCCATCTGTCATCATCAAACAACATATGCAGACTTATATTTTCGTACCCACTCTAAAGTAATCATTACATGCTGCATCCCTCCAATAAGCAGGATCAACTTGGTATAATATTCTAACAACTGTGGAATATCAGTGAAAGATAACAATGATCCATGTGACAAAAATTTGGTGACAATTGTTAAAATGATATGATAAATAGAGTAATTTCACAAAAGCATGAGCTTACCACGGTGACCAGACAATGTGTGGGAAAATGCCCCAGAGGCAATATCACAAAGGCGAACTTGAACATCTTCAGTTCCAACAGCAATTAGCATGTGGGATGTTGCCAATGAAGACATTGCATTTCTATAAACCTTTCCAGGCATTTTGAAATTCATGACTACCTATAAAAACAAAATTAAATAACGAAAAAACATTTAAAAAAAAAAAAAAAATTGGCATGACTTTGGATAATATAAAGCACAATAAGAAAGACGAATGAGAAGTTAACATACCTGAGTAGTATTAGTATCCCATACTTTTACACAATGATCATAGGATCCCGTTATAAATAGGCCAGTGTCAATAGGATACCATACGGCCGAGGATACGGCGTACTTATGACCGTGTTGATGCTGCTTATCAACAACAAATAC